TCAGAATCATCTAGAGAGCTTTTAAAATTCCTGATGCCCAGACTGCACCCTAGATCAACTTAATGAGAGTCTTTGTGGATGGGATCTGGCATCAGTATTTTTTACAGGTCCCAGATGAATACAATATTCAGCCAAGATTGAGAAATACAAGAGAAAAAAAAGTCTAGAGAAAGCAGCTCCTTCCACATGTCTAAAATCCGCCTTCTTCTACTCCCTCAGGTCAGTCCGGCCTGTGGTTCTCCTAACCCACAGGCTGGAGAGATCTTACACAGCTTAGCCATAGGAAAAAGACGATCAGATCTGGACTAATGCAGAAATAACAGTAACATAGAAATGGTCAGTTTAGGGCTGGAGAGATGGCTCCTTGGTTAAGAGCATGTACTGCTCTTACAGAGGACCTGAGTTCAACTCCTAGCATCCATAGGGGGCAGCTCACAACCCTCCTCTAACACTGTTTCACAAAATCTTACACCTGTATCCTTCACTAGGCATCTGCAGTAATTAATATGCACATACCCACATACAGACACACACATATAACCAAAACTAAGAAAAACATGTATTAAAAACTTGTCATTTTAAGTGAAGAGATGTTAAGAGAACGTATTTGTGATAATGAAGTTTCTAGCATTTAGTAAGTTTCAGATACTTCCCATAACTAAATAGGTTATAATCTGGGGAAAACAATTTAAAATCTGAGTTTTCAGAGTAGCTAACATTTCTAAATCTGCCCCTCAGCAGTTTATATATCCCTAATATTTTAAAGATTTGAAATTCCTTTAATAAGGAATCCCAGTTGCCAGTTCTAGAAGATTCCAACCTGTCAATCATTTCTAGGATTTTGTTTTGTGTGTGTGCTCCATAGAACTACATAAGCATGGTGTAGTCCTTATCCTTTTTTAAAAGGCAGGTGTTGCGTTTATAATTTTGATAGTGTGGGTTGTTCTTTGAGAGACGTTACTGAGAACCCGCTGGACACAAGCACATTTACACTCTCAGTGGTCTAAGATGTGTGTACTGGGGGCACTATAGAGACTAGTGCAGACAGGAACCCACCCAGAGAATTGTTGACAACTGAGTTGCTGAAGGTTCTGTGGCCAAAGTCAAGTCCAACAATGCTGTGTTTATTTGTGTTCCGCCAATTGTGAGGCCACATCCCATCACAGCCTACCAATCCAAAAGCAAATGTTGCCAAGCTATTGGCCAACTTTCAGAACAAATAACCCTTTCTTACTATGTGACCAACAGTGCTCAAAAAGACAGATGAGCTTCCTCCTGGATCAGAGGCTTCTGGTCACCAAGGAGTTCTCCAGAGGAATAGATGGTATTAACTATTGTTGGGAAGACAATATTTTAGTTACTGAACACAGAGAGCAGGAAAGTGATCGTAAGGGGCTGGGTCCTCCGTCCCACATCTGCCTCTTGGAGCAGTTGTCGGGCACCCAGCTCACTGCTGCCATCTCTCACTCAGCACCTCAACTCCCAGCTAAACAGCAGTGTTATTTTTGTCAGGTGTGGAGTGATTGCCTCTGTCTGCTGAGGAGCTGTCTGCTCCAATAGTCATCTAAATCCAGCCTCCGGCCTTGTCTCCAAGGGGACAGTTCTGGCAACAGAAGTGCTTGAAGCATTGGCCATTCATTCCCTCTCCCTCCATGATGCTGCTTACCGATGTTCTCCTTCTGGGCTAACTTCTGCATCTGTTCTTCCTGTTATATTCCAGCTTCATTGTTTTGAAACCTACCGTGGAGCTCACCGAGAGGCCACCAGAGAGAACAGAGAGGAGAGATGTCCCCTCTCTCGCTGCCCTAAGGAGTTCAAACAGTGGTCTGTTCCTCTTGGCGCCTCCTCAATTCCCAAATCCATACAGTTCATCCTTGATGAGCTGTTTGGAGGGTTTGCGTTTCTTTGTTTTCTTTTTGCTGTACCATTGACGTACTCTGATCTAAAGTGGATGTTTTCTGCAAGATAATCTCACATGGGGGAAGACTGAAGTAAAGGCTCCCAACACCACTGAACTGATGTTCCAGTTCCCCGGAAGATTTGCAGCACATGTACTAACACCAGCCCTGCCACTCCTCCCTGCTCTCGGCACACCTATCCCAGTCCAGCACCTTCAGGAAGCAGGGTGTGACACACCCAGATCTTTCACCTTTTCCCACAGTGCCAGTCCATATCTATCGATGTTTTATAAAGCATATTCCCAGGGGGTAAATATGTGGTTCAGTGGGTAGCAAGCGTGCCTAGCATGTGTAGGACCCCAGGGTGCCATGCTTCACTGGGCAAGCAAGCAGCCTGCCAAGTCGTACTCATATCCTCAGGTCGTGTTTCCTTTCACTCAAACGAAAGCTATGAGGGTGGCTAGCGGAAAGAAAAGGGAAACCAACGCCACTGTAAAGGGCCTCCGAAGAAGTTCAAGGACCTGCTTAGAAATGGAAGGCATCAGGACAGGAGGAGTCATCTGGCGTTTCATTTTGAGCTTTATTCCTCTCTGAATTCTGCTGATTTGAGTCCAGTTTCTTCTAACTGTCATTCCGATGACAGCAGGAGGGACCCTTCTGTGTTGGATCAGTGAGTGACTCTGAGGACTGTGAAAGCGTCCCCAGTGTTTGTGATTGTCCTGTTTGGTTGATGGAAACAAACCCAGCTGCCCACACTACTTGCACCTGTATCCCTCCATTCAGGAGCGTCAACCTCACAGGTCTGTTCGCTTGTGTTCATTCTTAGAACGAGCAAGGCTGTCTCAACCGACGGGCAAAGCTTATCAGAATCTTTTCTGAATAAATTACTCTCCTTTATTCTTCCATCTCTTGGGATTTCCTACACACAAAAGTGCCTTCACATCTGTCTGACTTTGGAGAAACCTTATCTTGTCCTTTTCAGTGGGATAGCAGGACAATGACAACCACTTTACAGTTCAGTGGAAAGATGCTGGTGAGGTGTTCTCTTCCTAGGAGATTTTACTGTCTTGAGAAAGTATATAAATTTAGACTATTAAAAAGCTTGTAAGTGGAAGTTATTTGCATAAACTATGTCAAGTCTTTTTGAGTACAGAGGTACTGTGATGTGGGGTGAGACTTTTGTCTTTCTTATTGCTGTAGACTTAGTGTTAGAGGAAAGGGATTTGCCAAATAGGCTTTAGGGCTGTTCAGGGTTAATACCAAACCATGTTTCAAAAGATGAAGTCATTTTATCACATTGCAAATGTATTCGTGAATTCAAGGAATTTAACACAAACAATAAAATTTACGTATATGGATGTGTTCCTATTGTAACTACTTTACTCTCAAGTAATTGTACATACTTATTTTCACTGAATTTTACCTCCCATTATTTTTTACCTTTTTCATGAGTCAATAAAAAGCATCCAAAGGAATTAGTCATTGAGCAGAAGAAGCTTACAATCCTGCTATGATAACTTTGTTATGAAATTTGAAATTAGCCCTAGCTGCATGGCTTATTGTGGAGAGATAATAAGCACTTTTATCTCATTCTTTGGGTGACAATCGTGTAAAGGGTGGTTAGGTTTCTTTACACTGTATAGTACCTTCCCTGATTTAGAACAAAATAGACTGTGAGAATGAGAAAGTGTTTTGAAAAATACACCCATGTTTACAGGGAGAAGTTTGGAAAAACTAAAGAATTGTCCCCAAAGACAGGGACTGAACTTGTGCTGTAACTGCCCCTTCGATTCTGACCTTCTTTCTACCAGATTCTATCATTCATGATAAAGCTCACTGTCTTTCAAATAAAACGAGAAAGCCAAATTCGATGGCTCACATAGACGTGGCTATCAGCAAAACCTCCCCCAGTGGTCCTTTGTTAGCTGAATTCCATAGAACTAGTCTTCCAGAGCTGGTATGTTCCTTTACTCACAGTTTGCGTCGGTTACAGCTTAAATGGAAGCCCGTCATTTTCATATTGGAAACAGACTCACCAAACTCTGACTTATTGGTCAATGAGTTTAGAGCCCAAAGGCTATTTCAGGAACAGATAAGAAAAGCCTGGAGTGACCCTGTCACGGACACTCAGCTACACTATTGTCTCCATGTGTCCTTTTTCATTTATAATGCCACACATATTATCAAACACAGTGTCAACACTGTCCCCGTATTAGTAATGCTGACAAACCTATTTTCATTTGTGAGTTTTAAATGCTTAACTTAAATGTTGAGTGTGTGTTCTGCTGAATTTAATACTACTGAAATTAGTTAGTAGTTGGAATCATTCAATGAAAACTCAAGCCCTGACATTTTAAGGGGAAAGAGCAACTGGGTCTTGGGGGGAAAGTGGGGTGCTCTAGTTATAGGTCTCAGACATACTTCTCCCTAACTTACTTCTACTTCCTCATATTTGTGTTCCTCTTAAAGCAACATAGAACTTACATGTCAGAGACCCTTGAGAAGGAAGCTGTTAGAAAGATCTGTTGTCTGCTTGGTGGGGGGTCAAAGACTCTAACACAAACTCATTAGACTAAGGACAGCTAAGGGCATTACAGACTCCCTTCTGTTTTAGAAACGCACAGTTGATGGTGCTCAGAAAGCAGATTCTTAACCGGTTTGCACCTTGACAAAGTTCTTTCAAAGGCGACACACCTAACAAAGACAGATACACTCTCTGTTCCTCAAACTAGTGGCTGGTGGTTTGGTGAAGTCCTACTGAGAAGTGTGTGCAAACTTCTACCGAGGGTGTTAGGAAAACAATCGCATGTCAGCCTGAGTACTGTCTGTGAAATGTCTTCTTACTAAAGAGCATGTTAGATTCAGGCCACAGTGTAAGTAGTTCCCACTGGCTTGTGCTGTCAGTTCCAGCCATAAGGTGAGTACACCTGCCCTGTTCTCACAGATACCTTGGAGACTTAGTACAAAAATCTCAATGTAGAAAAATTAGGACTTAACATTACATTGTTTTCCCCTCCTAAGAAAGGAGACCATGCCATCAAAAAGTGAACCTTAAACCAAGCGTAAAGATCCAAGCAGGGCTGTAATAAAGTCGTCACTTACTGTAGCTGTTCTTCATCTCCTGGGTCCCTTTCACTTTGCCTCGTTTGTCAATCCTCAGATACCACTGTGTGCGGCAGAACAGTCTCCTCACCCTTATATCCCCTCCTTCCATGTAATCATAACTTCTTGTGTGTCGCTCGGGGCTAGAACAGTTCACATTCGTAGCCGTTTGCTCTGGACTCATGTCATTGCATGCTAGAGATAGAGTGCCCACTAGACAGACAAGCTGGAAGCATGACCTGCAGAGCCGAGTTGGCAGGATCCATGTCAGTATCCATTTGCGCATTATAGTGTAGTGCTCCGGGTGTTCATGAATAACATAATGAGACTTGAATCTTGAGTTGATTGCTACTCCTAGGTCATGGGCCTCCTCCTGTCTGTGAACTGTAGCTTGATTTAAGAAAAGGTAGTCACTCTTTCCAAACTGGTAAGCTTATCTTTTAGCTTCTGATACCAATAACGGGATTCCTCCTTCAGTGACACAGTTGATAGATGTATCCTTATAAAAACAGGTTGCAACAAGGTCAGTTGCTGTAGTGCCGTTTGCTACTTGACTTCTGTTCACAATGAGAGATTAAGAATGGGGAGGAGAGGAGAGAGGAAGAGAAAAAGTTGTTCATATAAATTTCAGTGGGTAAGTAGTATGACATACAGTGTAGTTAAGCGTTGAAGGCACACTTAAGACACTTTCCACAGAGGGTGTTAGCATCTTTACCACTCTGCATGAAGATTCAAAAGAGCTGTGCATTAATGGAGAGACATCACAATAAAACTGCACCATTCATTCCAATTGCTGTCTTGTTAAGAGCGCCCTGTACTTAGAGCTATTGACTTAACTTGAGTTTTACAGCCACTCTCGATAAAGTAGAAATGTTGTCCCTGGATTTCATTAGTATATGCTTTTACATTTGTGCTTAATAATTATCTTCCCCTAAACTGCCCATATTTTTCAAGTTAAGTGTCGGGATCGCTCTGGAGAGCTTCCAGCTTCCTTTACCATACATACTAGAGCACAATTTCTGTAGATATTTACACGGTCCAAAAGTCTTTTCCCCTCAGTACAGTAACCACAGAAAGAGAAAACCTTTCAGAAAAGATTGAGCATTGTTTTAAAGACGAATAACAGTAACTTACTTGTTCTGTTTAGAACAGCTGGGTACACAAGAGTTCCGTGTCTGCTGTCTGCCTCCTGCAACTTGAGCCTTTCTACTGTAGCTACAAACTATTTCTCAGCTGAGAAATCCTCCAGCAGAATCATAATTGTTTCCATAAATCAACAGGCAAAAGGATTTTCTCCGTGTGTGAGCGCGTGCGCTTGTGTGTGTGCATGGAGCCTTTTATTCAGAGATTTTCAATAAATACCTTTGCTGACCTCATTGGAAGCAATTAAAACTTAACCAGTGAGCTGTTTGTTGAATAAAACAGCAGGGATAGAAGGAGGCTTGTGTAATGTTGAGTGGTCATAAGGGGGAGCTATGAACACGGCTTATGTTTAAATCTACAAGTGGGCATCCACTCCGTGGAAACAGACCTCAGTTACAAGGAGAAAAGGAAATAAATGTTAGACTTTTAAAACACAGCAGTTGTACAGACTTTGAAAACATTTCCTAGAACATGTATAGCAGCTTTTTAATAGTTAGATGATCTTTGCAATACATTTTTTTAGTATTATTCTCTCATATATTACATCCAGACTGCAATTCCCTCTCCCTCCCCTCCCCCAATTCTCTCTGCCCATCTCCCCGTCCCTCAGATCCATGTCCCCTCCATCTCCCCTCAGAAAAAAGCAGGCCTCCCAGGGATGTCAACCAAACAAGGCATAACATACTACAATCAGACCAGGTACATACCATCACATCAAGGCTGGACGAGGCGACCCAAGAGGAGGAAAAGAGTTCCATAAATAGACAAAGGAGTCAGAGACAGCCCCCGCTCCCACTGTTAGGAATCCCCTAAGAACACCAAGCTACTTATCCATAACATATATGCAGAAGACCCATACAGGCATACAGGGACCCACACAGGCTCCCTGATCTTACATGGTTTTTGTTACCGTTGTTTGATTTTGGGGAGTTTTGGGGCAGGCGAGGTGCAAGGGGGATAGTCCTTCATACTCAGTGTGCTAGAGCAACCCACCACTCAGGGTCTGAAAGCAGGTTTTCCTAGGCAAGCAAGGACATATCTTTTCACAGGTACTGCACCACTGTGTGTTCGTCCTTAGGCTGAGAAGACCCGGTTTCTTACTGGATTGGGATTCTAACAAAGAGTGTGTGTGGCCCTGGACCAGTCACTTGGTCTCCCTGTGGCTCAGCTGCTGCTTCAGTTGTCAAATCAATGACCGTGTCTAATCAGACTGGTGCTGCTCTGTCATTTTAACATCCTGTGTCTTGTGATTTATTAATACTGATGGCTCACAGAAGCAAAGGGACACATGATTAGTAAAACTATTATTCTTTTAGAAAAATGGTTTTGCCTTGGTGTTTGACTTGTGCTCCTTGAGAGCAATATCATAACAAATAACTGATAAATCCAGGAATAGAATTATAAGGTCATTAACTAATGGATATAAGAGAGCCCTTTTGCTTTCCAAAATGAGTTCTTGCCTATCCTGTACTGAGCAAGACTGTATTTTATATTTAGTATGAAGCCATTGTACCATCAGTCTAAATGAGTATTTAAGAATACATGTATTAAAATTCTCTTTTCCACTTATCCCCATCACACACACACACACACACACACACACACACACACACACACACAAGCACAACTTTACATTTAACAGACACTACCACCAGGTGGTGCAGGTAGGCCAAACAGAAACCGAGAACTAAGTTGAAACAATTGAATGAGTTTGTGCTCCCCTTTTTGACTGTGCTTGTAGGGGAAAGCGTCAACAGCACAGCCTGTTTCAAACATACCTAGCTGTCTTTGGTTCATGAAATATTGAAGCACCAGGTTTTCAAAGCAGAGGAGGACGCACTGTCCTACAGCTGCATCTATTGAAAGCTAGAGGGCTCAGAACATCCCATCATGGTTTGCTCATGGAGGAAGAGGGAAGGAAAAAAGATATGATGCTGTTCTTGTCTTTTTAGCAATACCCCACAAAAGAAAATCTGGGAGGACTAACAGTGAGTGGATTCAGAATTCCTAAGAGTTCCCGTTCCCTCCAGAGAAATGAAAGCTTTGCGATCAGTTCTCAGTGCATACTGCAGAATGCTCAACCTCTCCTTAAAATGTGCTGCACAGGAGTGAGTACCTGCAATCTTGTTGAAAACAAGTTATAAAATTATTATCCAAGTAGCCACTGAGCAAGTTGATATCAGGCAGGGAATTATATGGGTGGTTTAAATTCCTTTTGAAGTTATTGATTCATTTCCTTATTGGAGAATAATCCGTTCAAGATGGGCCCACGATGGGGTGGGAAATTTCTCTCTTGTCCTTGCTAGTCTTCCTTGTTGGAAATGGTTCTCAATGAGCTGCTAGTCCAGTTATCTCTAGCAGGGCCACTCTCATTGTGTCTCTGAATTACACAGTGGCCGTCATCTTCTGCTCTTACTGTGATACACACATGCAGCCATGGAGAAGCACAGAGCGCTCTGAAGACTCTGTTCTTCACTATTTCCAGATAGAGGTAGCTTCATCCTTAGTTGAAAATTTCTCCATCTTATGCATTTAAATCTCCGAGAAAAGTATCTGTGTCCATTTTCAAATATTTACTTTTAAGATGTCGTTAGAGGTGAATGTTAGCACCTGAAAAGCTTCAAACAGAAATGGTATCTTATACTTGTCCCATGTGCTTTGGGAATAAAATACAATTAGAAATTTAGAGAAATTCTTCCATGCAGCCAATCACTGTATCAACCATCTACCTCTTCCTAGCAATCTTCATTATAGTCTTCATTCTGTGAACAGATAAATGATAGAAACTTTGACTTGTGGAATTTTATGTTTTAATTTCCAATTTCTTCACGCTTATACACATAAGCTATACACATATATACAGGTGGTCTTTACTTTATATCCCACCCTTTTACATACATAGAAGTATTATGACACACATACATTGTTTTGCATGTTGCTTTTATTTGCACTTAGTAAAAATACAAAATTCCCAAATCAGAGTTTAGAAAACTCACTCGTTTTCTACAGCTGCATGCCAGTCCATTGGATGCGTATATCTCAATGTATCCAACCAACCTCTGTAAACATTTTTACCCATGTATTTTACTGTAGAAATATTATAATGAATGCAGTTATAAATATGCTATTTTATGGCATACAAATATAGCTGTAAGGGTCAGTTTCCAAAAGCTGTCTAGATATCTGTATTCCAGTCCTATGTAGGATAGGGACTCTTGAAACTGGGACTAGGTTGATTTATTCTTATAAATATGACTAAATATGCTGTGCTGTACATCTGACACTGGTTCCAAACACCATCCCTTCCACGTTCCTATGGCTAACCCCACACTAGGAATTTGCCTTCATCATTTCCTGTGTGGTTTCAATACATAAATTCAGCCTTGACTCTGGATCATACTGTGCAACCAGTCTTACTTATCAAACTGATTCATCCATTGAACAAATATTTATCCAATAGCTCTGTGCTGCCAGATGCTGGGTTAGCCCTCTGAAGACACAATGGTGAGTATTTTGGAAGTGATCTCTGCCCTTCCAGAGTGTGCATTCCAGGGAGAGGACAGCATAAACAAGGGGATCTGGGGATGGTACCGGGCGGGGAAGCCAAGATCTTACATTCCAAGACCCAAAAGAAGGACCATGCTAACGTTCAGAAGCGAGAGCCCAAGCAGAAGGAGAAGCGTGAAGCTGAACAGGCAGACGGGATTTGACGTTAGAAACTGTGTACGCTGCAGGAGGAACTTGGGCTCATTTGAAAAAGACGAGAACACAGGAAGACAGACCTGTCTTTCCAAACATGATGGGCCTGGTCAAAGACAGTAATTTAAACTTAGAAGAAAAGCCATGATGGAGCAATCCTGAGGTCCTTGATCATGTAAACAGCTCGCTTGCCCTTGGCATGATGCCGTAACATTTAAACACTAACTGCTCATAAGATGCAAAGTGTGAGTCATACATTCAGCATTGCGGTGTGCCTGTGACTCAACTTATAAATATCTCAGTTTACAAACGCCATTTGAGTCTCTGTATTCCTGAGTCTATAACAACATTGCTTCATTTCATTCTGTATTTATAAAGCTCCCTGAAATGCTAATCTAAGTTTAAAATCCTTCAAATTATGTTATGAATTTACTAAATTGTAATCTGACTTTAACCC